GTATTTAAAAAAAATTCAGTCCTGCTTCACCAGAAAAGAGCTCATTTTTCTTTGCTGTGTATTCAGTGCTCAGCATGTTATGTCAAGCACTTTGTTTAAATTTGCCTACTGGGTCTAATGTGCCTTATGAAAAATATATAAAGGGTTGTTGGGTTTCAATGGTACTTCACGGCTTTAAAATGAGGAACACAGGTAGAGTTTACAATAGAGAACCTGCCCACTGTGGCCAGAGTAACTGTGCCTAAACATTTCTGGATGAAAATATTTCAAGGCTCCCCTGGCCATTGCATGCTGGCCATAGAGACTGTGCAAATAAATGAAATGGCAGATACAGTGGACCGAGCACAAAGCAAAGAAATAAGCATGGAAATGAATAGCATGCCTGTTTCCACATTCCTATTATTTGCATAGTCTAGAAAGGCATAATGTCAATTTTCCATTAATTAAAACGAAATCCAGTTTTAAGTCAATGGAGTTACACTGGTGCAAAACAGTGCAAGGAAAATTAGAATGAGGTTCCTGGTAGAATCAATCTACATTCCTGTGGTATTTACATAACATGTTAAACTAAATTTATGAGCCAAATATTGCACTCTGGGGGATAGAAGGGAGCCTATATGAAAGACTTGGAGACCTTATGAAGGACCATGTGAAGGAAGCTCTAGGCCCTTCTCCTCAGCAGCAGTTCTTCCATATTATGAGGTTGAGGATCTGACAGGTATGGCGGAGAGAGGACTTTGATGGCTGGAAGAACTAGAATTTGGGACAGGACTACCATCCTCTGTGTTCTTCACTGGAGGCATCTACACATGACATTAATGCACAGCAATAAACTCTGGAGCTTAGTGCCCCGGAGCTTATTGCTCCTGGGAAGCTCCCAGATGCACCATTTACATGTAAGCCCAGACTGTAGCACACTGAGCTGGGTTGGAGCAGTCCCAGGCTCGCAAGGGACTGGGGGAATGGCGGGGTGGCAGCTTGTTAGCCACAGAGCTCAATGTGCTGCAGAGGGGCTGGCTGGGGCACAAAGGTGATTCAGTGCAAGGCTAACCTGCAGGCAGCCCCTGCACTGAAACACCCTCATGCCCCAGCCAGCCAGGTCATCCTCTACACGTGCATCGCTGCACATGAAAAAACTTCACTGCAGGGTAGTACTTGTATATACAAGCACTACCTTGCTGCAGAATTTATTACTTTCCTGTGCCCTAATAGGGGTGCACGTGTAGATTTTGAGACATTTACTGCAGAGCTAATTAGTCAGCTACCCAGTGAACATCTCATGTAGATGCTCCCACTGTGAATTAGAGTTCAACTCTGCTTGAAATAGCGTCTCAACTCTATGTCCCCACCTGCAAAACTAATTCCTCATGATGGTGCTACAGGTTACCTTTAAATCATTTGAAAGACACTTAAAATGGGAGTGTCCATGCATCAAAGGGTGTTAAACTGTGTTATGGACCCTCTAAGCATTTTAAAGTTAGAGGGCACTTGAGACAAGGGTTATCTTTGAGCTATTCTACCTAGCTCAAGCTAGAAAATTGTTAGTCTGCTCCACAGAGATAAAGTGAGGAATTTGTAGTTATCCAACCCTTCTACCCCTGCCAAACTTTCCACCCTTCCAAGCTGTATTGATCAGGGGACGGTATTGGTGCCAAAAAACAACACCCCCACCCACTACCAGTGGGTATGACCTCAGTCCACATGGAACCACACTGCTGGCTCCTAGGACCCCAGGAGACCAATTCAGGCTCCTGCACTGGATGCCAAGCTTATGACCCTCCCCTCAGAGGGCTAAGCCTTTGCCTCACATCTAGAGAGCCAAGAGAATTGGGGACTGGAGGGGCTTTCCTTCCCCAGCCTCCGTGCTCCTGTGGGACGGGGGCAAAGGGCTGCCTGGCACTGAGTGTGGCAAGAGCATGGAGCCTGTGAAGGCATGCTTCCCCAGCACAGGTGACTGATGCCTCCTGAGTCTGGGGGGGCACAATTTGTGGGCGGGCCCGGGGACGGGCCAAAAGCCCCATTACAAAGCACTTCTCAGAGGTGAGCCTATGAACTTCACTTCATCAACCTCCTGGTTACAAAAAATCATGGACTAAACATAGGCATTGGATTTATGACACATTATAACCTGCCTGACATCTGACTCCCCAGGTACCTCTCCACTATTTAACTGCTACATTCATCCCCCTTCTCTCCCCCACCCAGCCTGTTTCTCACCCACTGACTCTTCAATTTACATCTTCACTGACTGCCTGTCTTGTATGCAGCCCAGCTTCTTTACTATTAATTCCACCCAGGAAGAGCACACACCAAGTGCAGAGACTTCTTCAGCCTGATGAAGGGTTTTTAAACCCAAAAGTTTGCTAAAAAAATTTTTCCCAACTATTAAGTTGGTCGAATAAAAAATATCAGATTCACCCAAAGAACCCTGTCTGCCCATATCCACTCCTATACTTCTGTGCTGGGACTTAGTGCCCCTCCCCGCCCCCCCCCAACTGCCGGCCCACGTGGCAAAAAAACTGCCCCATTCTGAGCAGTGCCGAATCAGGGGACCAATCTCAGGGAGAGGCATGTGCCCCCCTGTGTCCCCCCTACCAGTTGCTTGTGATCCCCAGGGTCCATGCTGTTGCTGCAGTTAGTTCCTGGCATGCTTCCCCAGGCTCCACGCTCTCACTATGCTTAACCCCCAGGCCTGTGCTCCTAGAGAAGGGGTAGAGTCCTGGCTCCTGGCCATGTCCCTGCTTGCCAGGCCTTGTAGTGGCAAGTCACAGGTGTGCAGGTCAAAGATGGCATTAAGCCTTAACTACTGTGAAATGGTTCTAATTTTAACGCTGCCTAACGTTCCATAGATTTAGGATTATTTAAAGGTAAATTGTAACAGCACCCTCACAGACCAGATAAGAATATGCGGACATGGTGGAAAAGTCACCTGCAGCATGATACTTTTGTTACTCCACAACAGATCCTAAAGTGAGGCCAGGGTAAAGGAACTGTAGTCAGGACTACATTACAAGAATGCTTCTTCAGGTTGGTAAGCAGTCACAGATACAACCAAACATCTTGAAGGATATTCTAACTCAGGGGTGGCCAACCTGCAGCACATGTGCCACAACTGGCATGGACAGCCTCTGCGTGGCACATGAGAGATTGGGGAGGGGGGAGGGGGCAGAAAGCAGAGCAGCAGATCAGGCAGGAGAATGGCAGTGGAGTGGTAATCATAGAGGACATGGGATTTAATTTGTGGCATGCCTGCCAAAAAGGTTGGCTCTTACTGTTCTAACGTATTCCAGAGGCTGAGTTTGGCATACAGTTCTGGGATTGAGGAAGCATAAAGATGCCAATTTTGATCAAATCCTCTTAGGTCCTGTGCTATGTTCAGCTTATCCAAACCAAAGAATCTATCCATAACATTTTAACATAGTCTCTCAGAAGTATCTAATTGGATATATATAAATGTTCTGATTTGAATAGGAAAACCACAGAATTAATGTCAAATCTGCTGCTGAATCATAAGTAGAACAGTTATAAGTGGTACAAAATTAAAGGAAAAGGAGAGGTATCAAGCAGATCCTGCTAGTGTCAATACTGGATCTATGGTTTGGTTTTTTTTAATAATCTAGGAGAAATATATTGTACAGTGATTAAATATACAGATGACCTGTAGGATGGTCTGGGAACATACCATTTTATACAAAGAATTTATAGAATGATAAAGAGAGCCTAGAGAACTGCACAGAAATCACTAGGATTGAGCTACCTTAAAAAGAGATGTGTGTGAATGGAATAGCAGTTATGAAATGAGGAAATCAGAAATACAAAGTGTAGACTCTTGATTGAACTACTTTAATATAGAGAAGGATGTAGGCACAAAAATCCAACATGAATTTAGAGATGTTACCAAAAAAAAAAGAAAAGAAATTAAATTCAAGGGAGAGAGCAAGATGCAGTATATATGCATATCTTCACATAACCTTAATATAGTCTGACTCAGACTGATTAATTTCAAGACTTCACTAGAAAAAGACAGAGACCATGAAAAAAGACTGGCAAAAAGATAAAATATTAGAGGATAAAACAAATGGGGAGAGGTTAAGTTCTACATCCTGGAGTCCTAATAAAAAATACTACCACTTACATCAGTGCATTTTTACCTACATCTGCATATCAGAATTAAGCCCTATCTTATCTTAGTATAGCAATTCACAGAAAAACAATAGATATGGGAAATAAGACAATCCTAAATGCAATTTAGTGGTAATAAAAGATAAACTGAATGATTTTAAGTAGGTAATTACAGAAGAAGAGGGTATAACAGCTTACAAAAACATTTTGAAGATATATTTAATATTTGCGCTATAAAACCAATGTTACTGGTGCAACAACATTAGACATGTTGACTCAGATTTGATTCAACACTTAAGCCAATACAGTTTTACATGTGGGTTGCTAATGTTAAACCCCCTATTCATAAGTAGGCATCAGAAATAAATGAACTGATTTTGAGACTTGCTGAGCTGTAGGCATTCATTGTATTATGGTTCAACGTAGCAGGCAAAACACAGTTTCTCTAAACATCACAAAGCAAAAGGGGAACTCAGTCTTATGAATGCTTTTATGTAGTAGAGTATCGGGGGGGGGGGGGGG